CTTATAGTGTGGCTATACATGTCATCATGTAGTCAATGAGATGTGGTGATTTACATGATGATTTCATGAAGCCCAATCAGACCAGGAGCCAGTAGCTTTGCCAGTGCTCTGGAAGCCTTCATGAGATGCCATGTCGCCAACCCAGTTTAGCTATGCGACAACATCACACAGCCAAATCAGGGAGCAACAGAGTTGTTTCCAGCCCTTATTCTAAATGAGCAAGTGTTCTCACTCTGTTTTAGATCACTCCCAGACAGACAGCTGATACAGGGCACATTGCATGAGAAATTGTTTTGACTATCATGTTCCTGCAGCGATGATCTGCCCTTTAATTAATCCTTTTTTGCTTTGTATCTCTTTATTACAGTTCTCAGCCCTCTTGAGTCTTGCAAGGCAAATCTCTAAGTTAAAAGTTGCCAGCCACAGACTACACACTTACATAGCCATATCCGTTGATAACAATGCTAATGCTGTAATAGTTTGTGCTTAAACACAATGGAAAAGACAATCTTGAATGACTAGATATTACAACAGAAAGATATTGAAGTCTGACAAAGAGTCAACCTCACCTGTTCACCTTTTAAACTGCAGCCTTGGAATTAAGGAGAAAAACCTCACCTTAGTTATAATAGAAGCATTTCTGCAAGGACCTCATGAAAAGTAGTAGTTATCCTAAAGCTATTGGGATCTGGGATATTCCCATTATAAATATTTGAGATCGAGTATAAGCATCAATAATTTTGTGCTGGCTTAGGGAACCAAGCAGGAAGATCTGATGCTCCAAAGCTAGTTAGTCAATCTACTGATTTCTGAATTGTTCCATTTTTTTGGCAAGCAAAAATTTAAAAATACCCACTACAATGTCAACTATATTCAGCTATGTACAGATATATTCTTGCAAATCCTCATCAGCTGATCATAAGGGGACTTTCATTAGCCTAGTTCAGATCAAAGGAAATGCTTGCCATGTGTGTTTGCCATTCTCTATGGGGGACAGAGCATGGAGGAATGAATGGCAATAACATATTGAAGCCATCTACAACTGAGGAGTGTCAGGATGAGTATCATCCCACCGCATCTCAGTGATGTATGGTTCCAACATATCCTTCATTCTTCATAGCATCAGTCGCCTGAACTTGTGGGAGGGGCTCCTATAGCTCTAACAGACAGGCATATATTCACCAGGTTCAGCTGTTCTGTACATGTGAATGGTAGAAGCTCTGCTTGCTGAACTTCTGCAATATTGAGATAAAAAAAGTAACTGTTTACCTGGCCGCTTGGGAGAGCAAAACAAATAATAAAATGAGGCCATTACTAATCAGGAACATGTCATGAGCTATAATTTTAATTTCCTCTCACATATTTAAACTCCAAAGGACTTTCTAATATGTACAGTTTGCCAGCATTTTTTCTATTTATTATTAATTGGAACTACACACAGTAGGAGGCACATTCTCCGGATGAAATAGGTTTGAATGTGAAATCTATGCAGGTCCAGAATTCGTCTGCAGGACAAACAATAATTATTACTACTACTGTATACTGTACCTTGTGAAGAGATATCCTCTGAGCTTGTGCAAAACCAGAGGGCAGATAAACAACTTGCACTGGTACAATGAGGTTAGTGTTCATGTTGTACAATACAGAACTGTCTTTTTCTATTTAGACTAATAAAGAATTGCTTTGTATGACGGACAACAAAATCCAAAACAATATTTGACCTTGCCAAAACTGTGATACTTACTATAAAAGAACCTTTTAGTTGTATAGTAACATAGGCCTCTTTTGACCGACTGACATTGGCCTCAAAAAAACCAGCTTTGAATTCCAACTTCACACTCTTTCTTTCACTCCATTTCCCCACACACACACTTTTATTTTGTGTGAAGTTTTCCATGCATAGACAATTTCTTTCTACACACAATGTTTCTGGCAATGCCGGTGGACTAAATCCAACACGACACATCTTACAGAACAGGCCACCATCTGAAAATATACACCCAATAAAATATTCCTTTTGAGTAGTGTGTTTAGTTTATATTTGCAGATAAAAAAAGTGTTGTTGAGAGTTACCACAATTTCATCAGGTGATTCATAGCATTAGGGACTGCAGTAATACTTTGAACTGAAAATACAAAACAATGACCAGCATTTAAGAACATAAATTTATCTGAGCTGTTCAATTCCTACAATGATATATAAAATATCTGTATCTCTGGCCCTGCTTGGTATTCTCCACCATATCTTCTGCCCTGCAACAACTAGTGGTATATGAAATTATACCAATGGAATGTTTTCATTCTTACTATCAGTTCACCTCACTGAACGGACATTTGCCATGGTCTCAACTGATTACCACCATGTCAACATGGCTGTATGAATCATGGAAGAGACTCTCACTGAACACTTTTCAGAAGATGAACATGGAAGCTAGAGCTTGGAACATGGCTTTTTTAAAAGAACTTCTTTGTGTCATTCATTGGAAAGGCCTCAAAGGCAACTTGCCACCATTCATATTATAGAAGAACATTAGTTTTTGAAACAATCATCTTACTCATTTCAGAGACTCAAATGCTAACTCATTACCATAGGTGTTTCAAAATATTATAACTTACTGCTTTTCTTGTAACTTTTGGAAGTAACAGCAGTCCCGCCCCTAATACCTAATTAGGGATTTAAAGGAATTGATTAGGTATTGGGGTGGGGTTGAGAGTAACCCCATGAAAAGGGAAGCACATAAGCCTCAGCCCTTCCTCATGCTTTCCATCATTCTGCTCAGGTAGATACCTGAAGAGGTGAACTTTGAACAGAACAAGGTTCTCCACACCATTTGAGAACTTTAAAAAGGACATCCTCATTAATGCAGCTGATTCCGTAAATAGTATCATCTGGTTGGTTTATGCAGTTTTCCAAATTTTTTTACTTGCGAGAAAAATCTTCCATGGGATTTCAGAAGTACAGTACTGTATTTGGGTTACATGTCTTAACTAAAAAACAGCAACTGGTGCAGGGGAAAAAAAACCTGTTCTCACGGACTGAGTTTAAACACAGTCCACTCCATTAAAAGAAGGGCTTCTGTTAAAATATGTCTGTGCACCAATGAAATGGACTCTAGGTTAGAAATGGATGCCCTTTCCACTGCAATTCTCTCTTTCCCATTCATCCCCAAAACCTATATTGAGACAAGCATGAAAGGCAGGAAAGAGGAAAGGAAGGAGAAATCCTGTTACAGAAGTCAGACATCTGTTGTCCTCCTCTTGATTCAAGTGCCAAATGTTTAACATTGAGTAATGCACTGATCTGTGTTTCCGCAGTCTTCCTAGTGTACCAGCTATAGATGACAATTGAGGTACCAAGATTTTAAGACCAGACATACAAACATTACACATAATGTCAATGACCAGACTGTAGATCAGTGAGTATTAGCGTGTCATGCTGATGGTATCGGATGCTGACTTAAATGTGTTGAAAGAGTGTTTGGCTTAATCAAGGCACAAGGCAGTTGATTTATGAGACTACGGTAGTTAGAATTATTTCCACAATGAATCTACATGGATTATAAAACTTTAAAAGGAAAAACAAATAGCATATATGAGGGTAGTTTTATTCAAGGCATATTAATTTGGCTGCTAACAATATCCATCCTGTGTAAGGAAGAAGGCCAGGTTACAAGAGGCCAGGACTGCTGCGCATTTTAATAGCTGCAAAGGAGGACATTTCTCAGCCTTTGTCATTTGCATGACGCCACAGTAAAAGGTGCAAAAACTGTGTCTTCTTTTTCACCTTAGTTACTTCAGCCTATCAACATTTTCTATTTAATAAAAACAGGTGCAGCACAGTCCCAAACATCTTTACTCAAAAGATGGTACAGTTGAATCAGTCTGGCCCTACTGTCAGGCAGAGTACAGCAGTCATCTCTGGCAAGAGATGCGGGATGACTTCAAGGGTCCAGCAGGAACATTTCCTTACCTGTTCCCCACTTTCCCACAGAAGTCGAGTTCTGGGCTCTAGACAACATGTCCTGCATGCTCTAAGCTAGCCTGCTGCTTTCAGGCAAAGTGAAGAGTGGTGTCTCATCAGCAGAGTGTTAGTGAGGTTCACTCTGTCAGTCTAGTTGGCTTCTGCAGGTGGACTGGAGAGACACAAACTTGTCCTTCAGGCACCAAAACGTTTTGGGCCAGCCCTGAGGAATCTGACAGAACTTACATTCTTGCAAGTATGCATCCAATACCAAACATATTTTCTCTGATATATGATCCACGATGCTCAATAAAACATGGCCCCCTTGCATGTCCACACAGGATTACAGCTAATTAACCCCCACATGAATATCAGTAAGACAGCCACTTTAATGCTCAGTGTGTTACTAAATTGTTTCAGTAATGTAATGTAAGACTTCACGAACTAGCTAGTGTAAATTTATGTACCGGTAGTTTTATCTCCAGAGTGGCTCTATAGAAAACCTGACAGATTGTGTCAAATATTTCATGAACCAGCAAAATGGCAGTTTGTTATAGTTCACTGAAGTCCATAAACCATGAACTTCCCAAACTTTTTTTTGGGGGGGGGAGAAATGAACCATGAATTGGTTTGTTTTTGATTCAGAAGTTTGGGAGTCCTAGAATGGGCTCTGTAAATTGGTCTTATAATTCCTCCAGAGCCCTTCAAGTCTCTCAGGTCCCTCACAGGGATGGGCTCTGTAAATTGGTCTTATAATTCCCCCAGAGCCCTTCAAGTCCCTCAGGTCCCTCGCAGGGTTACCTAGTGCTTCCGATTAACAGGAGCAGGCTGTCAGGATCGAGGGGGGGAGAAAATGGGCAAAGGAACTAAAAATCACTAATAAAGTTATTTGGTTTGGTTCATTTTGGTTTATCTTGATCTGAACTTGACCTGACTCAAACCAGTAGACCAACGATTCTATACAAACTTTCTGGTTCGTGTTTTTTTTTTAATTTGTGCCCATCTGTAATTTCAACCCATTAAAACAAAGAACATAGAAATTCCAGTGTTAACATTTTATTGTAGTTATTTTAACCTCACATTAGTCTGTTTGTCATGGAATCAGCCAAATGGGATATAATCTTGAAAGACCGCCCATTACTCTAAAACTGTTTCTTCAACGGTAATACCAAAAATGAACAGTATGAAAGGCTTTTCTTTAAATGAGGCTTAAAAATCAAGCTGAGCTAAATTTATTAAAATGCTGATAAATGCTACAGATATTTGTTATTTCATACTGAAATATGAAATGTGGTTACATTTTTGAAGTATATTGTCAAATTACACGTATTGGGCCCAATCCAGGTAAACGTAGTTTTGACTAAATCCCAGTAAGAAAAAAAGGAAAAAGTTAATCGTAACTAACTTTTTTGTTGGCTTCAGTGCAATTTATAGCTCAAACATCATAGATCTACTCAGGAGTAAGTCCAATTACACTCAGTAGGACTTACTTCAGAAAAATGTGCACCGGACTTTAGCCCAATCCAAGGCACATTTACTTTTGGAGGGGGAAATCTCCATGCGGGCTGTGAGCTTTACTCCATAGCAGGAAGGATATCTAGGATGATACTCTTAGTCATTACTAAGTTTAGTTGGATCAAAGCCACAAAAGACATTTTGATAACTCGGTATTACATGTGGAGTAATGTCTGGCACTGCAATGGAATGGGGAAGAGATGAATTAATTACACCATGTCAATCAAATTCTCTGCCTCAGTTTATGAATGCATCATGGACTCAAATTCATCAATTCTCTGTTTCGTGTTTCCTTTACGGATCTTCCGATAAGATATCGTATTATATCGAGAATAACTGTGCCGGGAGATATCACTTTTTCTCAGAGTGCCTGGTTGCTCATCAGGTTGCTCAGTCTGAGAGTTACACTGTGGGCTGGTAGGAAGAAATTCTTTGCTGTTGGCCTCCTGCCCTTTTTTATGAGAATCGGAATCCTTACAATTTTCTTTCTGCGCTCGTTCTTCTGACTCTTCCTCTGTTGCATTTTCTGTCGCTTCCAGTTGTGTCTCTTCTTTCATTTGCTCCTTGGTTTCATTCAACTGCACTTCTTCTTCTGGTTCCTCTTCTGCCTGGTTAGTGTTGCAGACCTCCTCATCCTGAAGAGACTGGACATTCCTTTCTTTCTTTTTAATTACTTCCTGTTCCTTGGTGGTTACAGGATGAGTCTCCTCACAAGTCCCTGTTAACACATAACAACAACCGGAGCAGATCAGTGCTTCTACATACAGTTGGAGACTGTCCAGGCAAGCCTAGATGTATCTACTGATACATACTGTACAGATTTAAAAAAAATAAAATTAATTTAAAAAATTAATACAAATTTTAAAAAGTGGGACTTGCTTCACAGGTAAGGGATTTCAGATCACGGCCTAAGCCGGGTGCCTGGAAACCACTTTTGCCTCAGACATAAATTCATTAGGTACTGATAGAAGCTACTTTTATTATTCTTATTTAAATATATATTATCTGTTTGTACAATAAATTGCATTTATTCCTAAATATATGTGCTGTACTTAACCTCAAGGTAGCAAAAGCCAATTTTGTTTTGTTTCTGTCATCATGAAATCACCTTCAATTTCAATGAGTTTAAAATGTGGAACTGAACAAGGGCTAATATATGTTTGCTTGTTCATCTGTTTTGCTGTCGGAGTAATTGGTTTTAGCTTTATCGAGAGCAGCAAAGAAACAGGCGCCAAGCATGCAATACCCATGGGAACTGAGAGGAGAACTACTGTGTCAACTGTAGACTTCACAATTCAAGTTAGATCTCGAGCTGTCCAAAGGGAAGCCCTGCTTGTATAAATCCATTGAATCCTGGGTCTAAAATTATTAACTGCCCCACTGCCTCCATCCACCTCAAATTTGCTATTTAGGAATTCCAGAACTGATGTGAGGTAATACTGCAATGGTATTTGTGAATCTTTTCAAACTCTCTAAAGCAAGGGTCCCAAAACTTCTGTGACTGTTACGCAGGACTGGCATTTTTAAAGAAAATGTTAAGGCCACGGTTACAAAACAGCTGCGAGAGGCAGTATGTAGGAATCACAAAACGGTTGCCATCACGGGCATATTCAGTCACAAAAACACCAGTTTCACAGAAAGTTAAATCAGTAAAGCTATAATACAGATAATCTGCGTAACAAGACAAGATGAGCTTGAATTCACAAAACTAAACCACTCAATAGCATCCACGTTTTCCTGATCCACCAGGACACCCGTTTTGCAGAAAAGCAAGCCAGTTAATCAATTTCACCGAATCAGTTTCTCCAAATTAACAGAGAGATCATCCATAAACATACTAAAGAACAATAAATACATTACATTCTGGAAGGACACTAAACCATTATACTTTTCTCTCTCTGGATCGCAACTAAACAGGTTTTTTGCTGTTTTTCTCTCCTAAACACATTTACTACATACACCATATTTATCACATAATTTATCCAGGCACACTTACACATCTCATTTATTCAAGACATAAACATATTCACAACTCTCTTCTCCTCCTTTTCCCCATCCGAGCCCTCCCCAACCCCGTCCAGGCTTTGAACAGTTGCTCCACAGGTACTTGGAGGCCCTGTTCCCCAGCCTCTCGGTGACCCTGCAACTCTGCCATTCTGGATCACACTGCATGGCCTGCCATGCAGCCCTATAGGCAGACAAGTAGCCAGCCAGAAGCACCCTCGTCTTCTGAGGAGTTTTAGTGGGCAGCCTGAACAAACTGTCCTGTAGCTGTCCACTATCTCTATTTCCCAAAAACACTACATGAGCTACATAGGACCCAGAAGCTTCCCAGGAGGAGATAATAATATGGTGGATGGGTGCATGAAAGGGCGGGGGAGGGACACCAATGCAAAATAATCAGGCAATCAAAATACAACTTTTTAGGCATAATAGAATGAGAAAGAAGCAGGAGACCTCAGAACCACATTGGAAAGATCGATCCTAAAGCACCGTATACATCACAATGGAATTATGTGGCTGATGTCATTACACAATTTAGTCAGAATGTTGCACAAGAATTTTTGTTGTGTCTGGGTGGACTCAGAAGCTTCCTGTGTTTGTTATGTTCTTGATGGAAGAAGACAATAAAGTTCTTGTCTAGCTTCTGGTGTTTTCTCCGTGCTTTCTGCGATCAGGATGACAACAACAACTCAATGAATGAAAGCCTGTCGCACAGCTCTGTGTGTGCAACACAAAGCTGCTGCAGCATTTGGGGAAAGCACAACAGGGCAGAGGTGTTATTGACAAAGCTCCTCCACATACATGCAGCACACCAGGCAAAACTGGAACCATGCAATCAATTACGCTGGGGTAACTTCTACTGTATGTTATGCCAGGATTTCAGAATTTATTTATTATATTGTATTACTGTTGAATAAGGAGATCTTGTGTCTTAACTTGGAAGGAGGCTCACAGTTCACATGAATCATGCATGGGCAAAATGCAGACCTCCAGATGCTCTTGGACCCCAACTCTCAGCCTTCTTCCCCACTGGCTATGGGGTCTAGGGATGATGGCAGTTCAACAACAGCTGCAGAGCTGCTGAGTTCAGTTCAGGGCAGAGATTTACAGAATTTGCCCACTTCTTGCCTGAGAACGACAACACAGGATTTTATAATAAAAGACTAATGACTAGGGGTGTCTACTAGCACCAGAATTTGGATTTGGAATTCAAGATCAGTCCTCCTGATTCAGAATTCAAAACTTCCAGATATCCAGAACTTCATTACAGCCAATTATATAGTCATTATTTTCCCCTATAAAAAAACACAAGCAAGCATAACGTTTTAAAGGATTTCCCTGTGTCCTCTGACACTTTCATGGTGACTGTGCCAAACAGAAAGGGTGCACACCAATAAACAGCCTGCAGTGCCTGGGTATTCGGAAATGACTACAATGGCCATATGGATTGAACCCTGAACGCCAGCAGGAAATGCCAGCAGCATTGGGGAAGCAGCAGACAGATTGCATTAGGGAGCATTGGGGACAGATCGCATTCGGGGGTGGGCAAATACACTGGGCAGTCCTGGCAGGCAGATTAGAGCAGCAAAGAGCCTGTGATGGGTAGGAACTGTGCCAACAGCATGGAGCACAGCACAGTGGAGTGAGTGCGCACAAATATGGAGTAGCAGCTGGAAGCATGAAGGAGGCAGAAGGAGAGGGCAACAGACTGAACAATGCCATACCTATGAGCACTCCGAGCACTCGCCCTTACATAAAAGGACTTCAGGGAAGCCCAGCAATGGTAGGCTGATCTTAAAGAAAATAAGGTTTTCTGCAGATCCATGTTCCAGGGGGAGCTGTATGGACTGACTATGTCCTCTACAGAACACTACACTCTCTTTTGGGGCACACGAGTGGGTGGGCAAGGCAGCCGTCCCCACAACCACCTTGGCCAGACCTCCCCAAACCAGACTCCTTCTGGTCCCAGCAAGATAAGGGCTCCGTCTCTTTTGGCTTGCAGGGCTCCTGCACGTACACCTCTACCTCGGCCTCGGCCATGTCCTTCCTCTGGGGTGGTGTCTCTGGAAGACAGGTCCCTGCCATGGCTATTAAGAAAGACACTGTCCCAAAAAACCATGCTCTGTTGTCATGGTGGTGTGGGACTTTGAATTTTCAACACAACTGCTGGAACTGTGGTTTGGGATGCTAGGAAGCTTGCTGATTGCTTCCTCCTCTGTGTGACCAACTGGGTGTTCACTAGGTCTTCTTCTCTAGTTGCTGCTGCATGTGATGGAAGGGCAGCTGGCATTGCCCCCACCCCTCCGTTACTGGTGCTTAATATCCATTGCTTGTTCATAGGTCCAAGGGGGTTGCTAAATGTATTCCTCTTTCTTCCACAAGGAGGCAAATCTGTAGTGGAGCGGGTGTGTCAGCTTCCTAGCCAGGGCCACCACTTCAGGCTGGGGGGGGGAGCTCTTCTCCCTCTATGGAATCCCCCATCCACCTAGACTGTCCCTCACGATGCTTTCTATAATGCCAACCAAGCCCTGAAACATTGGGATCCCCTGACTAAGGATGTCATCCCACTAAGCACCTGTATTGCACTCTCAATGCAGTTTAGAGGACACTTGACCCATAATGTCACCCTCTTCTCTGCCCAGAGGAGCAGGCACACCAAGGGAAGTCTCCAGGGTTTAAACATGGAGTGCCCCTTGCTGCTCCAGCACTCTTTCAAGCAGGTGGACCGTGGAGTTCTTTTGGGCTGCCCACATCCTGGATTAGGTGGCGTCGTGGCAATCCCAATTTTTCTTGCCTCTGCTATTGCAGCTCACTGCCCTGGACACGGTGGCCCACTCAGTTATATTAGGTATGCGTGTGCCTTCCAAACCTTGCAAAGCACCCCTGAACTACTAGGTTTTAGAGTGTGGGCCATACACTACGCCCCTTTTTATCTTCCCAGCCTATAGTGCTGCCACCATGTTTGCCCCATCCCCCTGACTAAGGGGCCTAGGCTCCATGACTGCAGCATGTCCCCTCAGAATCTCTTGAATGTTGTCAGCTGCGTGGCTCCCCTCCATCCCAGCCACACTCAACGGGGCCCGCCTGTGTATCCTGCCCTTGTATGTTGCTCTATACCTGATTGGCTCCACCTCCCACCAGTGTTCTGTCAGGGAGAGATAGGCATATCTTGCACCCTGGCTGCTCCAGATGCACCACCTCTGCCCTGGCCGACTGCTGCTGTACCAGTTGCCCGACACCCCAGTATAAATCTGGCAGTACCTTGCAGCTAAGGGTCATTTGGGTTGGTCACTGGTAACGGGTGCTGGTTCTGCCATAAACCTATAGAAACCAGTGTTCTCCACCAGAGGAAATGGCTGGTCATCCGGAGCTACAACCTCCTCTAGGCAATGAGTAACCCCGGCATTTTTACTTTTCGCAGAAGGTCTTTTCCTCTGCATCCCTCCCAAGCTTCTCCAGGAACTTAGCCTGGAACTTATTCTTGAGATACAGTTCTGGCATTTGCTTCCTCCCACTTCTTACTATTTTTCTATCTACTTCCCCGCTTCCCTGGGCTGGTGTCTCAACCTATGCCCTCTGATGACTCACTCTTCACAATAAGGAAGCCACTTGCCCCCACAGTATCCAATTCACTAGCCAGCAGCAATGCCCTGTGCTGAGTCTACAGGTGGCTGAGCAAGCTATTATTGGAGTGGTGGCCCATGTCCTGCCCAC